TCATTTATTTGACCTAATTGAACTTAAATACATTTCTGATTTTGCAACATGAGTAAAATACATCCCTAAATTCTCGTAATGTTTAGATGTGTTTTCAACATTTCTCTAGACTATTTATTAAGAGTATCATGCTCCTACAAGAATTTGAGACCACTTGCTATGTTATATTGCATGTCGGGGGTATATCTAAGTTTAGTTAATCAAGTAGAGGAATATTTTTAAGGCAGTCAGAGCTGTATCTAAGTTTAATCAAGTAGGAGAATATTTTTAAGGCGATTAATAACTCGGGGACAAAACTTAGGTCAAATTCAAAGATGTTTTCAATATTTCTCTCGTTAGCTAGTTGTAGTTCTACCAAAGTCTTCACTTCCTAACTAAAGTTGAATCACGCTGCAAGACTGAATCAGCAAAATAAAATTAATAGACTTATTACTAATTCAAAACACAAATCACCTAAAAGATTTGACAATTCTTAGTGAAGCCTCAGAAGTATTATAATAATAATATCCAAATCAAAATGAATAGTCGATCGATGGGAGGCTCCAAGTTTTAATTTCCGTGACTTTTGCTTGGACCTTTATTTCCTTAATTTTCACACAATGTAAAATTAAACTAGCGTTTGATCATAGATTTAATTGAAATTTTTAAAAAATTAAAAAAAAATAAAGTTTGTTGGAAAATATAGTTTTTAGAAGTTTAAGTTGTATTTAAACTTGCATTTTTACTTGCAAAAATTTAAAAATTTATGAGTGAAACTTGAAAAAAATTTAGAGATAGATTTTCAACAATTGGCCAAATTTCAGGAACAAACAATAATTAATTTTTTTATTTTAATAATTTACTCTCAAAATTTATGACCAAAAAAAAGCTAAGATGATAGATGGAGATAAAAAAAACTGGTACATGAAAGTCCTGTGGTAAGCTACAAGCAAATCTGTTTTTTTTTTTAATCAAATGAGTTGGCACCTATTTAATGTTTTAAATTATACACAATATATATCCCATTTTAATTTAATGAATTAAACATTTTACATATCTGATAACACTGAATAATTTGTTTAGTGATTGTTAAGCTTTGTATATATAAGTATATAACTCTTTCCCGAAACCAATTTTAAAGAACAGAAGATGCACAAAGGAATAACCATGTTTTGTTTTAAAAAACAAATAAATATATATGCACAAAAAGATATCATTTTTTCTTGAATTAACATTCCTTCTTTATTTTTTTTAAAAGAAAAATAAAATTCACTTACATAGATTATACAAGAATCAAGTACTTTAAAAGATCAACTAAAAACTCTTATCAACAAACGAGGTGATGCAGTGAATGAGAGTGTTTCTTCCTTAATGAATTTGATATAGTTGGGCTCTAATGCGTATACCAGACATCAAGTAGGAAACCATAGAAAAACTAAAAACTCTTTTAAGTCTGAATAACATAATTGATTAAAATTTGAATTTTAAAAATAATAATAAATTCAACATTAGATCAATATCTAATTAATCCGCCCAAGGCACGGATAGATTCCTTAGTAACATACTAACATAGTAAATTTAGTATTATTTTGATCCATATTATCCATTTTGAGTAATTATATTAATCATAAGAATATCATCTAAGCTACTATATATATCGCTTAAACATCTCATTTGATTAATTAATATACTAATTGATTATATATGAGAAACAAATTAATTCAAATGATCAGAAAGACTAATATTCGTAGATAGGCTAGCTACATATATAAATCAATCCAATTATATATATGTAGTTCTAGTCAAACATGGACCTAGTTAATTAGAGCTAGCTAGCTAGTTGTCTGTATTAGCTATTAGGATATAAGAAAAGTAATAAAAAGCATTCAACTAATGTTTTATATCTCCAACCACTTATCCACGCTAAAATGTTATACAAGACCACGTTAATAATTTCTTTAATTATTACATTGTATACGCTATACTACTAGGTCACTAAATTGAAAATAGGATCTAGATGAGTCGTCAGCACCAAACATATCAGTGTAATTCCACAAATATGATATGAAGAGAATGTTATATACATAAGTTTTATTTCTATTTTTAGAAAATAAAGAAGTTATTTTTTCGATTTTATCAACCATTTTAATCGATTCTTCTTAAACATGTTGAGAAAGAGAAAGTATTATATTGACTCCAAAAACTTTTAATATTGATGTAAAATACTTCTAAAAATCACAAAAGAAATCAACTCAATTGACACTGTACAAATTTTATTAGCAGGACTTTCTTTGTGGTATTTAAAGACTTACTTTAATATTTACAACTGTTCACCATTTATAATACTTACGTTTAACAGTCTAACCAGAAAACAATAAAATGTTTGAGGTAATGATCACTACCCTCCCTCACCTACATTCACGCTTAATTAATAGGAATTGACTACGAATTAGTCGCTAAATAAGATTTAATTTTTTAATTCATCTCTAATTCATAAATTTGAATGTCAATAATCTATAATAATGCATCGTTAAATAGAAATTTTACGATTAGAAAAGTCATAGTACTATATATGCCCTTAATTTCTCTAGTATTGTAATTAGCTTGCATTAGTTTGTAAAAGTGGATTGTCATAATATCAGAAGGCTTATAATTTAAAAGGATTGAAGACTTTCGTTTCATTTGCCTCTCTTAAAAGTGATTAAATTAATTTGTAGTACTCCCCTATGAATCATATATTTTTTTCTATATAAAAAATTATCACATTTTTATATTTGGTAATTCTATAATTTTAATAGTATTTCATGTCATGTTTGAGTATGAAATTTCATGTTCAAAATCAAAGTAAGTAAAGTAATACGGATATCTATGACGGTTGTGCATGTTTTGGATCTAGTTGTGCCCTTTTCAGTTGATCAGCCGACGTCAATGAAGTTTGTGGATGTAATCATATCAGCACTAACACATCGTATCTCGTATTTGGACGAGAGTAGTACTAGCACTACAACAAAAGAGATATTTGGTGGCAATAAATTTTCTTTTTATATTTCCGCAAAAATATGATGTAGCGACAATTTAGCTAATGTCATTGCATCCAGAACTGTTGAAGCCTTTAACAACATTTATATAGAGTACTAGTTATAAATACTCATATTTATTACTATCGATAAATATAATATGGAAACAATTATTATTCTTTATTTGTTGTGCGTAGAAAAGTATACAAGGTAGCAATACACAGTATTTATTTCATTTATGTAAGAGTTGGTGTATATAGTACTATAAATGAATTTGTAACTAGCAAGTGCCCTTTAATTAGTTTGAATTCAAAAGAAATGTAACAAGCTGAGTACTCTTCTAATTAGTAAAAATGAAGTACTTTACCTTATGGAAACGCTTCTCATTCCTGAGAAAGAATAAGAAGAAAAAATTTAGTAGCAAATATGATCAATCTTTACTAGATAACATGTTTGGTCCATTCCCAGAAAGTGGTGTGCTTTGTTGTCCAGATGAGGCATTGGAGATGGCAAAACAAGCATTGGCAACAAGGAGGCTATCGTTCGAAGAAAACGAGTCGTGTTCTGTTCTATCCATGGTTGGTTTCCCTTTCAAAGATTGTTTACTCTTAGCTGTGGAAAGTGAGGATCCTAAAATGGATTTTTTGCATTCAATGGAGCAAATGACTAAAGCTTATGGTGGCCAAAGGGGAGATATGGTGGATTGGGAATTTATGGAGGAGTTGCTTACTTGGTTCTTGAAGATTAATAACAAGAAGAATCAACATTTCATTGTAGATGCATTTATCGACTTGTGCTTGGTATATCCTTCAATTCTTCCTGTGTGATTATCTCGTCTATAAGCTTGAATGGCTAAAACATACTTATAATTACTTATTAATGTATTTAACATGTCTTCATGTATGAGAGGTTGGGGTTAAGCACGTAGAAAATCTTTTTTATAACAAGTACTGGTAGTGAGATTTGAATTTAGAAACTATATTTTGTTCATCTAAAAAGATTAGAAAAAGCAAAACAAACTTTAATTTACTTAATTATGTTAACAATTATGAATTATATTGACCTTTTGCAGCAAAAGGATTGATTTCTTTATTTAATTTCCTACATCTACATAATGATAGTAATATATACTATCAGTGTAAATTAATTTAACCATTGTTTTTTCAGATTATATTGTCGAAATAGTTATCTTTCATTATTAGTATGCAACTTAGCATGTAAGTGTTATACTAGTTTATTTTATTAATGGAAAAAGGATAAATATATCCCAAACTATTATAAATATCCTCTATTATACTTTTGGGTTGTGTATACCCTTATCGTCAAACTATTTTTCTTTTCTTTTTTTGGATCAGGGAGGTCAGGTGCAAGATGTGGAACCACTTGCTATTGAAGTACCTGAGGAAAATGTGGAGCCACAAATTAACGAAGTATATGATGAAATGGTGAATGTTTTGGAGGAATTAGATGCTGAGTACTGTGGTGGGGCCTCTAATTCTTCTTTGCCAAATAAAGGAGAGCATTTCTACTCATGCAAAATTATGTAGTAGTTGTTGTTTGTTGAAAATTCATAAGAAGAGAATAGAAGCTAGTTATTGGTTGAATACATCGACAGACACTTAAAGTTATCCGAATTTTTTTGTTTGCATACTTAAAAGTAGTGGTTCGACCTATTAAATATATATAGTTGTATTTTAGCAGTACAGTAATTCTTGAATTGACATTCAGCTAACTACACATCCACGAAATAAATAAATTCCATGAAAGGTTGAACAAATTTTACTACTTTACTTGTGAAGCACATGAAGACACCATTTATTGGAATGAGAAAAACAAGTATCAGCTTCAGTTTCAACTACACTGTGAAATTCAAGTACAATGGTATATACTAACTGTACAGTGTAGAACTACTATTTGCTGATGGAGAATTTATCATTTTGAACATCAAGCTCGAATACTGCAACGAAAACCAAGCCTGAGCATCCACAGAAATGCCAGGAAATATTACTCAGCTTCAGTAGTATTTGCACAAGTTCGTTCAGTGGTACTGGATGGGGGAGTTTGGGCATGTGGAGTACTAACATCCGCAATTGAATAATCCTCATAAATTGAGTCCAACGCGTCACGAGCAGCTAACTTTGAGTCATGGATTCTATATTCACGGGATAACTTTCATCGGTTGCAAGAAGCAAAGAAAAACGGAACAGGACTAGTAGGATACACTCTGTCCACAAGTCAGTGTTACTAATATCGGCATCTGACAAAAACAAACTGCATTGGATGTTTCTACGACATGCACTATGTTGAATTAGTCTCTTTTTCCTCATTCTTTGCTTCGAAAAACACTCAACAATTATTCAGTTTCTTGTAGGCTTGAAAATAAGAACTTACATCAAAATCGGGAACAATCTTCATAATTCCACTCACAGGGTTCTGGGAAGTACCAGCATCTGGACACTCTCTTTGATTTTCTTGTTCCTCTATCCCGACACCAACTCCTCCGCCATCATCAACAGGCAATGCTGCAGTTTCATTCTCAATGAAACATGATGTTGAAGGCATGGTTGATGGTTCCTCAACAACATTTATCTCTTCGAACTTTTCCTCTAACTTACTAAACAAAAAATTACAAAAAAAGAACCTCTTAAATCCATCAAGTTTATCTTGCCCTTATAAAATGCAACGCTATTAAACACTCCATCCTTTCTAGCAACATATTAATCTTTTCAGTTTCATAGGTAGTTGAAGAAAGAAGTAAATAAGTACCTGATTAGGTAAACATCAATTGGTCCCATGGTGCTGCGAATCACTCTACTGGATCTCCTTTGTGGATAATCAATAGCCTATTAGAAACAAAGAAGACATGCTAAGACACATAGAACTGTTACTTAAATTTTGCTGAGATACCAGTTGAAGAACTGGTAGACTTGTTACAATAAAAAAGAAAAGGATTTTGTACTAAAGAGAAAGCAGTTACCTCGTTAGGATCTGGAACTCCTAAATTGTTGCCATGTGGAAATCAAATAACTATCAGTGTGTCATTCTGATGAGAGCAATAAATTGAAATCAGAGCATTAGTCATTTGATGAAAATTGCATTACAAAGAAATCAAAGGAAAAAACAAAAGGATCTGTTTCAAAATTACCTGAAGACAAGGTAAGCTCTTTATATCATCTTCAGTTACAAAAAGCCATCTTTTAGAAAGAAAATTTAGAAGAGATCAGTTGTCAAGAATACGAAGGAAAAGTGAGCAGATAGATCCATTAACAACAAACAACTTGGTTCATCATTAAGCCAAAGAATGTGGTACCTTTGATTATTTTCATCTTCACTCAGGACCCTCAACCTTTCTTGCTTTTCTCTGAGACAAGCCAATTTAACACAGTATCAGCATAATGTTGAAGCAAGGAAATATTGAATATTTTATCAGAGGCATCAGAAAATAACCTTATCTGTTCATCTAATATACTTCCTTCAATCGTCAAATTTTCTACTTCTGCCTGTAAAGGAAGCACAAACCAATTATTGAAACCCTTTTTTGCTCAGGCTACTTGACAGATTATGACAGGGCCAATTGGCAATTAACAAAATAAGAAAAAAGACAGGCAATGAGATAGTTCTTCAAACCTGTAAACTTGTAACACTCTCATCAACTTCCCCTGGTCTTGAGACATCTAACCCCCTATGTAATAAGAGAACTGAGTAGTAACTTTTGTTTATCGAATGATCTTGAACGATATGGAACTTAAATGATAAACAACTTCAATGTAAAAAATTTATTGGATAAGCATTTCCATACTTCCATTGTATCATGTTTGGGGATTTCTTTTCTAGCAGACCAATGCCTTCCAGGACATTTGTGACGTCATATAGACGCCTTTTCTCCACCTGTTAAAAAGAGGAGATCTGCAGTAAGCTGATAGAATTTCATCATACCGGCTTATGTAGTATCTACTGCATAGTGAAGATACCTCTAATGTATCAGCTGCCTTGTTCAGATCTAGAATTCCATCTTCTGCATGTTTGATCAGGTTAACGAACTTCTTCGTTAAGGAACCTGAATGAGAATCAAGAGAGGAAGTCATAGTTACTAATTTTGGTATATATTTACCCAGTACAACAAGTAATTCAAGAAAAATGTCTTATAACATACAATTGCACAAACACAGAAATGCAACCTATACCTATATTCATACCCCAAGGACAAACAAAGACTAAAAGACACAAATTAGTAACCGAAAGTCATAAAAATTTTAAGTTACCTAAGGAGTTATCATAGCGGCAAGGACCAACTGGAGTAACATTATCGCCTGAAGGGGACCCTGTAATTTGAAATATTTAAGAAGTTATCTCTTCTGTAATTCTATGTGATCTATAAAATGGTGGGTGCCCCAGAGAAAATGAAAAACAACGATAAGATGGGGTGACACAACAAAGATTACAATTATCCAAGCCGCTAATTTGTCAAATTGAGTAAGATAAAATAATGAATCTTATATTGATGATATGAGACGCATAAACTAATGCTGACAAAACTTCTTGTAGGATATCCTTACCTGAACTTGAGGTTGCTTGAGCAACAGATCTGGCCTTTGATGTCTTTGGTGCTTTCTGTGACTTTCCAGCTTTCCCTGAGATCAGTGTCTGCATTGGACTACTCACATCGGCATTTCCAGAACCTGCAATCTGTGCACCAACTTCTTGTTTGTAATTTGTTGTTTCACTCTTCCGTTTCAGTGGCTAATCAAGACAATTGAATATCCCCAAGTTCTTATCAGCAATAAATTTTAAAATCTTTACCAAGAATGTGAAGATAAGTAGATACTATAAACTGCTCAACTAGATTGATCAGCATTTAAATAAACAAAGTCATGTCGTATCACCAAAAGATCTAACGAGGATTTTGTAGATAGAACATAATAAACACTTAATCTTAGCAGCATGCTAAGTCCCACGTTAATGGGATAAGGAAATTATGGACTCCTTATATAGAGAGTTGGGCTGATCAATCTCATTGATTGCTTCAGAAGTTCACTGAAACTTTATGCAGTTTGGCATATGACTGGTTAATGGTAGAGTAGACCACATTCGACATGAAAATAGTGGCTTAGTCCTGTGCAGTATGGTTAGCCACCTATGACACGACTTGACTTCAGCCTAACAGACTGTTTTCGCCTCTCTAGGCAGACATCTCAAGACTAGTATACCGAATCTCAATGTAGTGGCATACGTGTTTCACCAGAAGCAACCAGTTGCTAATCTCACAGTGAGAAGGACTAGAGGTCCTCTTTAAAAACAACAAGCAGGGAAGAGGGAGATGAATAATGTAATAGAACATTGCAGCTCATTAGTTAGTATGTGAATAGACGGTTTGTACTGAATTTAAGTGGGTCAAACAAGCCACCACTACAACAGCAGTGTACTAAATCAAATTTTCTTTATATCAATATCAGATTTCAAAGCTAAGCCGTAGAGAGCAAGACATTAGACAATACACAGTGAAATTTTGATAGCAGTTCTAACTGCCAACTTATTCTGATTATTGCCACTACAAGTACAATGATATATATACTAACTGTACAATGAAGCTCATTTCCTTTGGGGCATCAAACTGTCAACTTCCTGACAGAGCATTTCGGAAAAAGCTCCCGGAAGCACTTGTTCTTACGTTTAGGTCATTCAAGGGGCTATACAGAGTATAAATTAATACAGATTTGCTGATGGAGAATTTATCAATTTGAACACCAAGCTCGAGCACTACTCTGAAAACCAAGCCTGAGCATCCACATAAATGCCAGGAAATATTACTCAGCTTCCAGTAGTATTCGCAGAAGGTACTTCAGTGGTACTAGATGGGGGAGTTTGGGCACGTGGAGTACTAACATCCGCAATTGAATAATCCTCATTAATTGAATCAAACGCGTTCCAGTCAAGAGCAGCTAACTTTGAGTCATGGATTCGATATTCAAGGGATAACATTCGTTGATAGCAAGAAATAAAAAATAACGGAACGGAACTAGTAGGATACACTCTGTCCACATGTCAGTGATACTAACATCGGCATCTGACAACAGCCAGTAATCTGCTTCATTCTGCAGGGCCGAAGAAAAAATAAGTAACTGAAAAACCAAACTGCATTGGAAGTTTCTATGAAATACTCTACCTACTTATTTAAGATAAAATGCACTATATTGAATTAGTCTCTTTTTCCTCATTTTTTGCATCGAAAAACACTCTAATTATTCAATTTTATGAAGACTTGAAAATAAGAACTTACATCAACATCTGGAACAATCTTCACAATTCCACTTACAAAGTCCTGGGAAGTGCCAGCATCTGGACACTCTCTTTGATTTTCTTGTTCCTCCATCCCAACACCAACTCCTCCACCATCATCAACAGGCAATGTTACAGTTTCATTCTCAATGAAACCTGATGTTGGAGGCATGGTTGATGGTTCCTCAACAGTATTTATCTCTTCGAACTTTTCCTCGAATTTACTAAACAAAGAATTAGACAAAGATTGTTTAAACACTCCATCCTTAAATCGATTAAGTTTATCTTGCCCTTAAAAAATGCAAAGCTATTAAACACTCCATCCCTCTAGCTACATATTAATCTTTTCAATTTCATAGGTAGTTGAAGTAAGAAGTAAATAAGTACCTGACAAGGTAAACATCAATTGGCCCCATGGTGCTGCGAAACACTATTCTATATCTCCTTTGTGGATAATCAACAGCCTATTGGAAACAAGGAAGACATGCTAAGACACATAGAACTGCTACTTAAATTTTGCTGAGATACCAGTTAAAGAATTGGTAGACTTGTTACAATAACAAAGAAAAGGTAATTGTCCTAAAGACAAAGCAGTTACCTCATCAGGATCTGGGACTTCTAAACTGGTGCCATGTGGAGCTTTAATAGCTATCAGTGTGTCATTCTGATGAGAGCAATAAATTGAAATCAGAGCATTAGTCATTTGATGAAAACTGCATTACAAAGAAATGAAAGGAAAAAAACAAATGCATATGTTTTAAAATTACCTGAAGACAAGGTAAGCTCTTTATATCATCTTCAGTTACAAAAAGCCATCTTTTAAAAAGAAAATTTAGAAGAGATCAGTTGTCAAGAATACGAAGGAAAAGTGAGCAGATTAATCGTTTAACAACAAAATGTGACACAAATAACATGGTTCATGATTAAGCCAAAGAATGTGGTACCTTTTATTATTTTCATCTCCACTCAGGTCCCTCAATCTTTCTTCCATTTTTCTGAGACAAGCGAATTTAACAGAGTCAGCATAATGTTGAGGCAAAGAAATCTTGAATATTGTACAGAGGCATCAGAAGATAACCTTATCTGTTCATCTAATCTACTTTCCTCTATCGTCAAATTTTCTACTCCTGCCTGTAAAGGAAGCACAAACCAATTATTGAAACACTTGTGCTCAGGCTACTTGGCAGATTATGACAGGGCCAATTGGCAGTTACCAAAATAAGAAAAAAGACAGGCATTGAGATAGTTCTTCAAACCTGTAAACTTGTAACACTCTCATCAACTTCCCCCGGTCTTAAGACATCTAACCCCCTATGTAATAAAAGAACTGAGTCATAACTTTTGTTTATTGAATGATCTTGAATAATGTGGAACGTAAATGATAACAACTTCAATGTAAAATATTTATTGGATAAGCATTTCCATACTTCCATTGGATCATGTTTTTGAGTTTCTTTTCTATCAGACCAATGCCTTCCAGGACATTTGTAATGTCATATATACGCCTTTTCTGCACCTGTTAAAAAGAGGAGATCTGTAAGTCGATAGAATTTTATCATACAGGCTTATGTAGTAGCTACTGCGAAGTGAAGATACCTCTAATGTATCAGCAGCCTTGTTCAAATCTAGGATGCCATCTTTTGCATGTTTGAGCAGGTTAATGAACTTCTTTGTTAAGAGACCTGTTTGAGAATCAAGAAAGGAAGTCATAGTTACTAATTCTGCTATATATATATATATATATATATACTCTGTACAAGAAGTAATTCAAGAAAAATGTCTAATAACATGCAAATGCACAAGCACAGAAAAGCAACCTCCACCTATGTTCATACCCCAATGGACAAGAAGATTAAAAGACACAAATTTGTAACCGGAAGTCATAAAAGTTTTAATTTACCTAAGGAGTTGTCATAGCGGCAAGGACCAACTGGAGTAACATTATTGCCTGAAGGGGATCCTGTAATTTGAAATATTTAACAAGTTATCTCTTCTGTAATTCTAGGTGTTTTATAAAATAGTGGGTGCCTCAGGGAAAATGGAAAACAACAATAAGATGGGGTGACACAACATAAATTATATTATCTAAACCGCTAATCTGTCAAATTGAGTAAGATAAAATGGGAATCTTACATTAATGATATGAGATGCATAAACAAATTCTGACAAAAATTCTTGTAGGATATCCTTACCTAAACTTGAGGTTGCTTGAGCAGCAGATCTGGCCTTTGATGTCCTAGGTGCTTTCTGTGAGTTTCCATCTTTCCCTGAAATTGGTGTCTGCATTGGACTACTCCCATTGAAACTTCCAGAACCTGCCACCTGTGCACCAACTCCCTGTTCGTAATTTGTTGTTCCACTCTTTCGTTTCAGTGGCTAATCAAGACAATTGAGTATCCCCAAGTTATTATCAGCAATGAATTTAAAATCATTAACAAGAATTGTGTCTGAAGTGAAGTTGATAAGTAAATACTATAAACTACTCAACTAAATTGACCAGCATTTAAAAAAAAACAAAGTAATGTCGTATCACTAAAAACTCTAATGAGGATTTTGTAAATAGAACATAATAAAGACTTAATATCAACAGCATGTTAAGTCCCACATCGGAGAGATAAGGGAATTATGTACTCCTTACATTGACTTGGGCAGATCAATCCCATTGATTGTTTCAAAAGTTCACTGAAACTTTATGCAGTTGCGTATTTGACCGGTTAGTGGGAGTAGACCACATTCGACATGAAAATAGTGGCTTGGTCCTTAGCAGAATTTATTGCCACCTACGACACGATTTGACTTCAGCCTAACAGACACTGTTTTTGCTTCTCTAGGCATGAGACACAGCTCAGGACTAGTATACTGAATCTCCATGTAGTGGCAAACGTGCTTCACCAGAAGCAACCAGTTGCTAATCTCACAGTAAGGATGACTAGAAAATTGCAGCTCATTAGTTAATATGGCTTTATTTCCTCTAATGCTTCCTCTATTTTCTTTCTCAATTTGTGATGCACACAAGAACTGCATGCATCTGCCACTACTACACAAGCTGAGTCATAAAACCAATCAATATTATAAATCTAATCATCCAATTTTACCCTCAATCTTATAAAGGAATTACTTCAATAACAGAATAAACCTGTCTCCAGTAGCAGCATTAGAAGATCCATAACAGTAAAACCCCACAATCTCAAGGCCTTGTAATATGCTACTACTGTAAAGGTTCCTCAAAACTGCTACTTTTTCTTGTCATTTGCTCTCTTTTGGCTATTAATGCTAAACCTACCTTATCTAGGTCCTTCATTTGTGGATATTGGTCCGAAGGGATAACACTTAGGCCATACTAGTATTTCAACATGATGTTAAGAATATTTCACAGGACCACTGCAATTGCAGTGTATTTATATATAAAGGAAATTAAGATAGAAAGATAAAAGACAAAACTGATGCAGCTGTTATTCTTGTGACATAGAATTTACTATAGACTATAGCAATTTCTTTCGACTCTAAAACATCAGGCAAGAGTTTATTTGCGGCAAATTATAGCCATCCGTAAAGTCTAGATTGATTCATTGGAGCACAATGCAAAGGGAAGAATTACAAATCCTTCTTAATGTGTACTAAGCATTTAACAAGCTTCTACATTTCAAAATCTCACAGCCCTCTTCCATTATGATTCAGATCTTAAACAACCTAAGCAAATAACCTAGTCCCTTCTACTTTCCCCTTCTTAATTATGAAGATATAATCTCCTTTTCAGTTGAAAGATGAATACTGCTGCATGTTTTCTTTCATAATTTCACAATATCAAGAAGTAAAGGTGGCACAAAATTTAAGAAACATAATAGCAATCTAGGTAGGTAAGTAGCAGAAAATACAATTTTGGCCAGTCAATTATGCGCACGTTTGGAAGATGAAGGTAGCGGAAATGAGAATTTGCAGATGGATGTGTAGGCATAGGAGGTGAGATAGGGGATTAGGAACAAAGTTCTACAGGACAAGGTGGTTCTGCCCTCCGTGGTGGACAAGATGAGGGAAGCGAGACTGAGATGGTCCGGGCATGTGAAAAGGAGTTGTACGAATGTTCTAGTAAGGAAGTGCGAGAGGTTGGCCATAACAGGCTTTAGGAGAGGTAGAGGAAGGCCAAAAAAAGAACCGGAGGAGGTGATTAGACAAGACGTGGCTCATCTTCAGCTTACTGAGAACATAACATCGTATAGGAAGGTTTGGAGGTCGAGGATTAGGGTAGAAAGATAACAGGTAGCCGAGTGTTGTCGTACTTCTATGTGGGAGAGGCTAGTCTCCTTTTCTCATCTTTTCATTATTTTAGTAGTATTAGATAATATTCGCACCATATCTTATTCTTCAATTTTTACTACTTCATGTTGCTTCATTTGCTTTGTTCATCTTTCTATTATATCTTACAATCTTGCTTTGATTAAACTTCTTTTGAGCCTAGGGTCTACCAAAAATCAATTCTCTACCCAAAAAGGTAGGGGTAAGGTTTGCATACATCCTACGTTCTCAAACCCCACTTGTGAGATTGCACTAGTATGTTGTAGTTATAGTAGTACCCAAAAATACAACTTTTTAAATCGATTTCAAAATAGTATATCCAACTTATGGAAATTAAGACATTCATAAGACCAGAAGATAAAATAATCCTGAAATCAAAGGGCACAAAGTTCAGAACTTCACAACTAAATTAATAAAGACTAAATGCTAAATCAAGAAGGTTAGCATGCTAGAAATGTAAGTTCTCTTAGAGCAAAAGAAAGAACTTCCACCAAATTCCCCTATTATAGATGTATACAATGGTGAAAATTTCCACACTAGTACAACCAAAATTCAAGCCAAACCCAATTAGAGACCTAAACAACACAACCACATAGTTCGTCATCGAAATTTCAACTCAATACAGCTACTCTCCTTCGCTATTGAAAAATTATACAGCAGATTAGATGTTCCAAGAATTTGTTCAATTCACTCAAATTACAAAATTCTGCATCACAAAAAGACCCATAGTAGTGTGGAAAAATCAGAACACTCACAGTAGACTTTACAACGATCCCTTCAGGCTCTTGAGAAGAAGGCTGAAGTGGGTCAGTAGATAACCGATGGTAATCACCTAACGGCGGTTTACTCGACGTAAATGGGAGCTGACGCTTCGAAGGCTGCTGTTGATTAGGCTGCATGATCTTACTAAACTTCTTTCCCAGCACACCCAGCTGAGAAAATTCCCATTTTTTTCTTAATTTCAATTGAAGAAGAAGAGGGAAAACGAAATTCAAGAATCAATTGAATTGGAAACCCATTTTGGCTAAAATTCTTGGGTTTTGAGGGGTTTCTTCAGAGGGAAAGGGGAAGAAGATGAGATCTGAGTTCAGCAGGGAGAGAGAGAAAGGGGAGAAAACGAGGGAAAGGAAAGGAAGAAAGAAACAAAAAGGTTCGGATATGTATATGGAGGGAAGCACAAGTACTTACATGGTAATTTAAAGAAGAATTAATTATGGAATTTAAACACAACTCAACTCATCATTAGTCTAAAAAAGTTGGAAAATTATTGATGATTTTGTGATTACACTCCCAAAATAGTACTAAGCTCTTGGGTCGTCCGGACCCATATCTGGCTACGCTCAATAAGAAACCGAAATAGCATAAATAAATTTGTGTTCCGCTTCCAAAGTCAGTAACAAGATAAATACAGAGGTTAAACGAGTTGGGGTCATGTGGAGCCGGCCTCCCCGTCGTCCCCCCCGCCCGCACCCTCCATAACTAATGGTAACAAGATTGAGAGTGGAAAAGTTATACTCTCCCTTTGTTACTTTTTAGTTGTCATAATTTCTTTTTTTTAGAGTCAAACAATATAAATTTTGATTAATATTTTAAAATGTATTTTTTTACCATATTGATATGAAAAAATTGCAACTTTTCATATAATTTTTGAATATCTATTTTTATTTTAAAATATCAAATTAATATAATCTAATTTAGCTTTGAAAGTTAGTCAAATTGACTCTCGAAAAGCGTAATGTGACAACTAAAAATGAACGGAGGGAGTAGTATTGATTTTGTAAACAACAATAATAACATATCTAGTATAATCCCATAAAAGTGGGGTCCGAAGAGGGTAAAATGTATGTCAACCTTATTAATCATTAGAGGTAGAGAGGTTGTTTCCGATAAACACTCACCTTAAGGAAAATAGAGATTGAACAAAGTAGTATAGAGAAAAGAGATACGAAAATGGAGAAAGTCGTGTCTAAACACTATAGATAACCTAGTAAATTATCCTAAACAATAGTTATAATAAGATTAAATTTAAGGAATAGAACTGTAAAAAAAGATAGATAATTAATAACCAAACTCCAAGGACAAGAGACTATACGAGTAATACCACGACTAATAGTATAGAAGAACAGGCGAAACAACCCTCAACTATCTAAAGAATCTTATGTGCTAATATGTATCCTCCATAACTTCCTATTCAAAGGTCATGTCTACGGTAAGCTCATATCTAACCATCTCTCTCTAATTCTTCTTCGACCTGCCTCTACCTTTCTTTAAATCATCAATGGTTAACCTCTCACACCTCCGCAATGAGGCATCCATGCATCTCTTTTGCATATTCCCAAACATCTTAGCCTCGTTTCACGCATCTTGTCATCTATCGAGATTACTCTTACCTTATCCTGAATATCATCATTTCTAATCTTATCTCTTCTAGTATGTCACACATCAATCTCAACATCCTCGTCGATCTTATATTTATAAACAAGGGCATAGGATATGCTAAACGGAGTTGTGTTAATGGTGATTAACATGCTATTTTAGGATGACTTGTGTAAGTTTAAACATGATAACTAATTCAAATTTAATTTTTCAATTTATTATATTTTATCTAAACAAAAAAAAAAGTTTAATCTTTCATAGAGTCAATGTATATAAAAAAGAAGAAGAAATTAAATGGGGAATTGGCGCCTAAGAGAGAACACCGTTGAAGTGGGGTTACTATTTGGCGCGTAGAAGCTCCACATTTGCACCTAACTCCAATACAGCCCAAAACACTAACCAACACTTGCTAGTAACACGACAAATTTTTTTTTTTTTTTTTTTTTTTTTTAAAAAGGGGGGGACATGTTTAAAAACTAGCCCCTTTGAACCATTACATCATTTCAAATAATTAAATAAAAATATATAACTATTTTATAATGTAGCCCCATTGAACCATTTTTCATACTCCCTCCGTTCTTTTTTAGTTGTAAATAATTTCTTTTTGTAGAGTCAAATAATTTGAATTTTGACTAATATTTTTAGATGTATTTTTATATCATATTGATATGAAAAAAGTTGTAATGTGTAGTACTTTTGTATAGTTTTTAAATATCTAAAATTTTGGTTTAAAATATTGAATTAATGTAATCTAATTTAGTTTTGAAAATTAATCAAATTGATTCTGGAAAAGCGCAACATGACAACTAAAAAGGAATAGAAAGAGTATAATTAGAGCCGTCAAAATGGGCTTGGCCCGCGAGGCCGGCCCAACCCAACCCTTGAATTAAGTGGGGTTGGGCTTAATTTTTTTGGCCCATTTAGGAACGAGGCTTTTTAGCCCAGCCTCGTTTGGCCCGTAGCCTCGTAGGGCCAACCCGCAAGCCTCAGAGGCCAGCCCGTGGGCTATTAATTTTTAAAAATATTTTTTATATATATTTTTAGTAGTGTTTTATTTGTAAAGATTTTATCAATAAATATTTTTAAAATATCAATATAAAATCAAGACTATATTTTTTACATATCTTTTACATTTTAGGGTCATTAGCCCACTAAATTTTCTTATTAGCCCAAGTTCATTGCTCCATTATAACTATGAATCTTTGACGTCCTTTACTTTTGTTTTTATGCCTAATTTTTTTCACTTCTCCTTTATTGTCTTGTTTATGAAAATAATGATAATGTAATGTTTTTTTGCTCGGATGAATCTTATGAATGTTGTATCTTGGCTATTATGTATTTGTTTTGTAAATATTCACTGAAGTATGTGTAATTCATGAATGAATTTATGTATGTATTGATGTCGTGTCCATCGGACATCGACATTCGTATCCTTTCTAAGAGGAGAAGTTGTCCGTTTTTTTATTGAAGGACCAACCCGTCCCAACCCGTGGCCCGCTTAGGGCTGGGTTGGGCTGCTATTTTATCAGCCCTTTAATTAAAAGGGCCAGCCCGTCCCAACCCATTTAACTCTCTAGCCCGTTATGGTTGGGTTGGGTTGGGTTGGGCCAGCCCATTTTGACAGCTCTAAGTATAATACATGTATATCAACTAAAAAAAGTAAGAAATGAATCTGACGGGTTATTTGTGTAAAGATTCCTCGGCTCAATAGTCATCTTTTGGATGGCTAATCAAGCTTTAGTTTTTTTTTTTTTCAATGTTTCATCATTTCTAATGCAGAAATAAAATCTGAATGCTAAAGTATAGAAAAACTCCATGAATTTTTATTAAAAAATCGAACATTTAGGTGTATTGAATGTCGCAATTCAAACTCCATGAAAAAACTAAAATTTGAATTGTGACAGTTCAAAGCACCGTGAAATGAAAAATGAGTAGAGTTTGCATTTTAAATGCTATACATAAAATATACTCTATAAATTTTATTTATTTGATTGAACAAAGAGTTCAAGAAAAGAAAAACGTCTTATACACGAGCTAAATATATAACAATAAAATATATTGAAATTACTCTTAGAATATTATGATTTTCAACCATGTTACGTCAATTGGAGGCTGAAATAAACTTGTTAAAACCAAAAAGTCTATAATCTCTCTCTCTCTCTGTATATATATATATATATACATAAATAAAAAAATGGTGTTATTCTTTTGTTACAAAATAAGCCGAAAAAAGAAAGAATTCATATAAAATAAAATAGAACGAAAGGAATATTATATTTGTGATAAATGGAAAAATATTTGTAATGATGATTAAACGTTCCAAAATGAACTTCATATCCTAAGAATATCAATACAAATTATTTGCTACGATGAAATTCATGCAATTGTCAATTGGGATATTCACTATTTTTTTTTCTGTAACATAGTTTTGGAAGTCAAATACTTAATTAATGCCAGAAATTCTTGTTGAATCGCAGCTGGAAACTTGATGTTTACATTTTCAATCTACAGAGTTTCCCAATTATTCGTTGTATACTTGTGTTCCATTTGTATGTCATAAGGAAATTTCGAATTATCATTTTACTAAGAATATATGCTAGCTTTAGTCTAAAGTTGATAAAAACTCACTACTTTTACTAAGAATATATGCTTTAGTCCAATGTCACATATCTCCTTTTTTTTCCCCATTAATTTATACTACTAGACATAATATCTAACAGATTTTTATCAATAGTAATAAATAAATTAAAAATCTTAACTTGAATAAGTATAAGCAAAAGGGACTAGTTAAACTTTACCTTAATATTTTCTAAAAGTTAGCTGCAGTAAATGAGGTGAAAATGAATTAATTAGAGGACTTGCCAATAGCTAGAAAAAGTAAGCTTAATCAGTGCAAAAGGCACAACATAGTATTTATAAAGGAGCTTAGATATAAGTCTCTATATTCACTAATCACTACCATGCATGATAATATAATTACCGCTATATTTTATATATAATAAATATGAGTATTTATAACTAACATTATATATAAGTATTGTTAAAGACTTTAGTAATTTCAGATGCAAATTGCAATGACATTAATTATCTCTATCAATTGTCCCTAAAAATTTGTTGCCGCTAAATATCTATTTTGTTGGAGTACTAATTGCACCATCAAACGTTGCGATGGACAACAAGTACAAAGCCTCTCATCCTTACTTAGATATATATATCTTTGGTTCGAGTTTTTAGAAAGATATTGTGTCCGATAGGGAGAGTTTTAATTCAAAATGAAACTTTTCACTCGTGGTGCGAATTCAATTCAATCAGATGTTAAACCATATCAACCGCCATATGAAAAATCAATATAAATTCTCTCTGCATGTAATACAATTTTCTACTAAGTATTTGACATGAGAGTCATATCTTTTTCTTTTTTTTTATCAAACACATGAGAGTGATATCTATTTGGAAATAGTCTTATTGCTTTTAATATATTGTCAGGTTATTGACATCGGTGACTTTTACTTTAAAGTTTAACCTTATAAAAATAAAAATAAAAAAAGACATGATGAAGATAAGGCTCCCTTCAATTCCTGGCAGATAAATCGTTTTTTTCTGTGAAAGTTAGATGCTATAGTAGTAGTTGTTGATAATGGTAATTAAAGCCAAGCTCCACTACTCTCTTGTGTGGACCAAAAGTTCAATTAATTCAGCAGCCCAAACACTATACTGTATATGTACAAAAATTTATTTCTTTACGTATACATAAAGATTTTGAATTTCTAAACGCAAGACTAGATGTTGATTCAGTATTTTGGGAAATTCAAAATT